ATGGCAGGCAGAGCTGTCTGAAACCTTCTCCTAAAGGCCAGGACAGCAGGAAACTGCTAGAGCCCCACAGAAAGCTTGGTCTGGCTGTACCTCATCAGGGGCCCAAGGGAACAAGAGCAGGAGGGCATCGATTAGGAGTCTGTGGTCAAAATCCAAGAGGCTACCAGGAGAGGGACTTTGACTCAAGCAGTGGTCCCAGGAGCTCTGCGGGTAGAAGCCCAGAGCTACACCCAGAACATGTTAAACCATCTTCATGCCCACCTGCAGGAGGCAATGGTAGACCAAAGGCTCAGTAGCCAGATAGTTCTGGGCCCCATGCAGTTGTGTAACCTTGGGGAGGTCACCGTACCTCTCTGATCTCCCATTTCCCTGTCTGAAAAATGAGGATAACACGAACACCCACCTGGCACAGACGCTGTGAATGAGATAGGCAGCAGCACGGAATGGTGGGTGAGAATGCTGTGGATGGACTCTCGAGTCCAGCCACCCGGACTCCTAGCTCCTTCTTAGTTCTGTCATATATGCACTGAGTGACCTTGGGGAAGTGATCCAACCTTTCTGGGCCTCAATTTCCTCATCTGTGAAGTGGACTTAATAACAGTATCTATCAATAATACATCAAGGGATTCGTGTGGTGATTGAAGGAATTAATATACGGAAAGCACTTGGAACAAACAGTGCTTGGCACACAGTAAATGCAGGTTAAAACAATGTTGGCTACTGTTACATAAAACCACACAGGGTGGTGCCTGGCACACGGAATTGAGGCTCACTCAGCACATGTATGGCCCCTTCTCCATGCCCCAGGCCTCTTCTGTGCTCCCAGAAAATTCAGAGGCCATGGGAGGCAGAGGTGGGACAAGAGTAGAAGAGGGCAAGCCTGGATTTGGTCTTCTTCCCCTTACCCATCCATCCAACACCAGGTGATACCCACTCTCTTCAAAGCTCCCTCTGCCCCAGGTCCTGGCCTCCACTCCTCACTGCCTGTGCTACTCATTTTGTCCTAAGCACCAGCACTATGATGGGTCAGGTCTGGTCCCCTGTGTCTTTGGCCAGGGGAGGGGGTGGGGGGATCTCAAGAACAGAGAGTGTGGTGTTTGCTCAGCCTGGAGGCCCCTCCTGCTCTCTGCACACAGCCAAGAAATGTTTGTGGATGACAACAGCCCCATTCTCGCCCCAGATCTAGACAGAGAAGCAAGATTCCTCTAATTCTCATTCAATTCGACATTATCATTGCCTCCCACACAACTATAATGCTCCCAACACAGTGGCGGGGAAAGAAATGGTATTCCCTCCTGGGAAGGAGAGGACCCCCCCCTGGGAAAAGTGCCCAAGACCCCAAAGGAGACAGACTTCCCTAGGACCCTTCTCTGGACTCCCTCCTCCCCCCGCCCCCAGCATCCACATCCCCTGCGGGGAGCACACTGTCAATCCACTGCACACAGGAGACGCCACAGCAGTGCCTAAACCAGGCTGGCCCTGCTGACTGCTGTCCCCTAGTGCAAGCCAGCTTTCTGGGTGGGCAGGGTGGGGGGGCAGAGGATGGAGAGTTACCACCAAACAGGCTTCAGCCCACCACTGCCTACGGCAAAGCCAGAGCTGGGCCCAGGCAAAAAGAGTGGGAAATGCAGCTCTCTTCAGTGTGGAGGACTCAGCAGTGGCCCCCAGCACGGCTGTAAATCATTCCAGGTGCCAGGATGGCAAGGGGGCCCAGGCCATGATCAACAACAAAAACAGAGATCTTCTCTAATCATGATGGGTGTGTGTGGTAGGGGGGAAGGGTGGCAATTCCAGGGGGAAAGACCTGAGCGTGGTGGATATCAGCAGCTGCTGAACAGACAGACAAACAAAAGCATGCAAAGACTTCACATACAAAGGCCCAGAGGCCAGAAGGAGGTCGGGCCTTCTCATGCGCTATGCTGCACTAGGAAGGCCACACCCAGAGCACAGCAGAAGGCAGACTGGCATCTGGGAACCTGTCCAGAAAAGACAGTGCGGGAGGGTGTGGGGATCCTGGGGGGATGACATGGGTGGGGGTGGACATAACAGCTGCTATCAACTGCAGTAGAGGGCAAGTTCCCAGGCTTGGGAGTCTGCCTCGTGGCTCTGTGACCTCTGGAGTGTTGCTTCACTTCTCTGAGCCCTCGGTTTCTTTGGCTGGAAAACGTGGGTTGTGGTGACATACGCACAGGGTAGCTGGGAGGACTGAATATGCCCCTGGGCAAGGGGCCCTTCCATGCTGGGCCCAGGCCCCTCTCTCTCCTCTTCCTCCACCAGAGGGAGCCGGGGGACCAGGAGCGCCCAGCTTGTACCAGCTCTACCTAGCCTCCCCCAGTGCTGCAGCCTCTGCTGCTCAACTCCCACCCGGCCTGCCCTGGCTTCCAGCAGCAGCCTCTCACCCACTCCTTACAAACCCAGAGGAGGCCTGGCAGGGGAGTAGCTTGCAGCAGCTGTGCCGACGACAATGGCTACTGCATCAACAGGCCCTCCTGACACCTGGCCGAGAGAGAGGGAGGGAGACTGGAAAGGAGGGAGACAAGGCCTTCTGCCCTCCCCCATCAACTCCCTCTCTCATCACTCATTCCAGAGCCATCTTCCCCTGCTTGAATCCTCCAGAGACCTCAGGCTCTCTTGGCCTCTTCCAGTTTGTGACCTGGTCAGGTCTTGAGGCTCCAGAAAGCTCCAGTGGAAAAATAATAGGCCTTGGAGACAGGTGGACTCGGGTTATAGCCCTAGCTCTATTAAGAGCTGGCAGTGTAACCTTGAGCAAGGTCCCTTCATTTTTTGGAGCCTTAGTTTCCCCATCTCTAAAATGGAGTTGCTAGTGCTCACTGCACATGGTCTGTTGCGAGGACCAAAAGAGGTAATAATGGATGTGCAAATATTTATGGTTAGGAGAAATTTGAAGTACCATCTAAAATCCCCTTATTAACCCATTAGGAAATGTGAAGCAACAAACACAAATGTGTTTCACAAAACGTGAAATCCAATGAACAGCCTGGAGGCTGCACAGAGGGAAGGACCGAGAGGCAAGCCTGCCCAGATGGCAGAAGCCCAGAGCTCAAGAGCAAACAGGCTTCCAAACCCACATCTGCAGGGTGGAGAATAGGAGGAGAACTGAATCCTAGAATTGGGGAAAGCCTTGGTCATTTCACAGGGCTTTCCATCAGTTCAGGAATTATGTTTTCTCTAGCCCTTCCCGATCCCCTTGAGACAGTCCACTGCATCACCAGACCAGGTTGGAAAGTTCTTCCTGATTTATCCCCAATTTTCCCATTGCTCCCGGTTCTGCTACCTGGAGCACACATAACGAGGCTGCTTCCTCTGTCACAGGCTTGACCACTCTGGAAGTCTTCCGCAGCCAGGCTCAGGGACCACAATGCCCATCTAGTCTCCCTGTGCCCTCACCCTACCACGGTCCTCTCCTGAAAGGGTCTTGCTTGGTTGACCTGGCCCCTCCCTCCAGTGTGGGGCCCCAAGCTGCACACAGTCAGTCCTCCTGGAATGGGCTCCAAGCAGCACCCCCTCCCCTCCCCCAGGCAGAAGAGCCCATCTCCCTCTGGGGCAGCCCACACCAAACCTCAGCTGAGGGTGCACTGCAGTGAAGCCCAGCCGAGTCCTTGAGCTGCAGCTGCTGCTCCTGGGGCCCAGCCATCTCAACCCAGCACCCCAGCCTGCTGCCTCACCACGGGGGAGTTGCAGGGAGCTGTCTCTCGGCAGATTTCCTGAGGCAGAAGGCTTCCCCACCCCCAGCCCAGCCTCCAAGAGACACTCCGCTGGTTGTGGCACATGGTAGGACCAGCTGAGCCGTGAGAGGAGGAGGAAAGCTGTCCATTTGCTAGAGGACTTCAGACTTGGTCTGTAGTGGTGGCTGGATTAGTCACAGAACCATCAAATCTAAGCTGGAGGGGCCATTCAAGAGCATTCAAGGCAGATCCTGCCTTTTATAAAGATATGGGGGAACTGATGCCCTGAGAGAGGAAGGGACTCAGTCAAGGTCACAAAGCCAATCTGCAGCAGAGCTGGAAGGGGAACCCGGGTTTCCTAACTCCCAGTTCAGTATTCTTTCCAGTCCAGCAGAAGAAAAATCAGGGAGCCTTTAAGGCAGCCCTGTGATCCTGCACACCCTGGGCTCCTTCAGCTTGACATTTATCCCAACCAGCTCACCATGGTATCTGCATGGAGAAATGGACCCAGCCCATGCCCCACCAACCCAAGAGATGTTGCCAAGGTGTCCCAAATAAGCAGACACACAGACCCCAGCACAGACACTGGCACTGATCCAACAAGAGGGAAGATCTGTAGACTTCCCTTGCTGGTATGCTCTTCAATTGGGCGGTGTTTTTCTTGAGGGTGGAGAGGGGGTGGTCTTTGAGGAACTAGCCAAGGGCCGGGCCTCCATCTTTGCTCCCCCGGCCAGGATGTGCTGCAGTTCCCCCTCAGAGGGACGTCTCAGCCTCTAGCTGCCATTCTGGTCCCCACCTGCCTCTCTGGGAAAGGATGGAGCTGAGGCTGCCAGAGGAGAAAAGATCAGGCCTGCGCTCAGGACCTGCAGAGGAGACCCGAATGGTGGGGGGAGTCGCGGCCGGGGGGGGGGGGGGGAGGGAGGGCTTTCGTTCCCCTGCGGCTCTGAGCTGACATCGTGACAGACAATAAATATCCCAACCGGCACATCCAAATAGAATAAATGAAGAAATAAAAGGCCATCCTCTGGCAAGGATACAGGGAGGGGGTGAAGAAGTGGATGGGGTGACGACTGCTCCAAGCTCTCACTGGCCACGGTTTTGAGAAATAAGAGATGCCTGCACTCATCGGGCCAACCCACTCTGGTGAAGCTAGAGAAGGGGTATCGGCTGCCTGAGGGGGCGCCCGGCTTTTCCCGACAGGTTGGGACAGGAGAAGACACGGAATCAGGCACTGGCTTCTTACTTTACTAGCCGTTCAAGTTGAAGAGGGAACTAGCGGGGAAGAACCGGGGAAGACAAACACGCGTTCCTTACTTTCTCTGGAGGGTTGTGGCCGGGCTGGTGCTGGTACTGGTGCTGTGGCCGCCGCCGGCCCCGGGGCTGGAGCTCCTGGATGCGCCGCGGCTCAGCTGGCCCCGCTCCCGCGGTGGCCGGGGCCCCACGCCCACCGCCGCCGAATAGCCGGCTTCCTTCTCGCGGCCCGGGTGCGCCGGCCCAGCCTCCCTCCCGCCACGCTCGCGACTCAGGGCTGGGTTCTCGTGGTGCAGGTGGCACTGGGCCACGTCGCGCTCGCGGGCAGAGTAAGCAGCAGTGTCCTGGAGTGGGTAGGAGGCGTCCCGCTCCTTGTCCCGATACACAGCCTCCCGGTTCTGGTAGGCGCCGTCCCGGTTCGGGTAGCCCACGTCCCGGGCCGCCTGGTGGAACTGGCTCTCCCGCAGCTCGCGGTGGTGGAACTGGGTCTCGCGCAGGTTCTGGTACTGGCTCTCGCGGCTCGGGCTATCCCGCGCGCCGTGGGGGTCCCGGTGCAGCTCCCCGCGGTGCAGCTGGCTCTCCTCCCTCAGATCGCGGTTCTCCTGGGTGAGCTGGTCCAGCTGGCCCTCCAGCTCTTCGATGCGCCGCCGCTGAGTCTCCAGCAGCTGCTGCTGGCTCTCGATGATGTTGTTCAGCTCCAGCAGGTACTCCACCGCCCGGTTGGGGCTCTCGGATCCCGGGCCGCCCGGGGGACCCGACCCCGCCTCCATCCTGGCGGCCCAGGGGCAGGGGAAGGGGCAGGAGAGCCCGATCCCAGCTCGCTCACGGCGCCACCCTCCCCCGGGCCCAGCCGGGGGAGGGGGCCGGCGGGACGCGAGGGCGCGCACCGGGCTCGAGGGCCCGGGGGCCCGGGGGGGCCCGGGAGACAGCGCTGGGGCCGGCGGCACGGGGAGCAGGAGCTGAGGCTACCGCCGCCGCCGCCGCCGCCGCCGCCGCCGCCGCCACGGCTCCCGAGGACGCGGCCCGCGGCGCTCCGCCCGCTGCGGAGTCACTGCGCAGCGCGGCCGCGCGGGACCGCCCCGGCCGCCGGCCCGCCCCCCGCCCCTGCCCCCACCCCGCGCGCCCGGCCCGCCCCCGCGCGTCCCACCTGCAGCCGCCGCAGGCGCCCGAGGCTGGACCTGCCCCAAGGGCCCCACGGGCCAGCCCCATCACAAGCTGCCGGAGATCTCTCCTTTTCACTGGTCCTAGGGTCCTCGCTTAATGCAGCCTAAAGAAGCCCTACATCCCAGTCCGTTCCAACGTCCTCGGTTCCAACAGGCCCAAGATCCTCATCTAAGACCTTCCAGGAACCTCCATCCCAGGCAGCCCCCAGGTCCAGGAATCCCTCAGACTCCCCATCCCCTAGGTCTGCCAATCCCGTGTCAGTGTTCCTATCCCATCCAACCCCTGGACCTCCTACCTCTCTCTAGCCCATATCATGGGCAGTCTCCAGGATCTCCCACCTCAACAAGCCCTGGGACTCCCCATCACAACTAGTCTTAGGCTCAAAGCTCCATTCATTCATTCAGCCCTCATTTTCTACTCTCCTTTGGAAATGCTCATCTCCATTTACTCCATCACCTCCATCCAATGAAACTGTACCCATCCTGCAAGACAAACACCACCTCATTGAAGCCAGCCCTGATCTCCCCAGCCAGAAGTGCTCACTTCCTCCACATTTCTTTTGTGACACTTGTGGACCTCTGCTTTACAGCCCATTTGTTTTTATTCTTGTTGCATGTCCTCTACCAGACCAAGCTCCTTAAAGCCAGAAACATGTCTTCATTCATCTTTGTGAGCAGGCTGGGATAGAAGAGAAAGCTTGAGTTTTACAGTCATACAGAACTGGATTTAAATTTCATCTCTCTGAACTTCCTTTTCCCTCTCTATAACACCTACCTCACAGGGGGTGGTCTTGGGAAAAGCATGCAAAATCATTTGGCACAGAAATGACAACGCAGAGAATGAAAGAAAATATTTGCAAATGATATATCTGAATATGTAAAGAACTCTTACAGTTCAACAGCAAAAAGACAACCCATTTTTTTAAACAGGCAAACTACTTGAATAGATACTTCTCCAAAGATATACAAATGACCATTAAGCACATGAAAAGATACTCAACATTATTAGCCATCAGGGGAATGCAGATAAAAACCACAGTGAGCTTTCTTTCCTAATGTAAAAGGAAACTTTCACAATGTCCAGAGCCCTTGATACCCTACTGATGAAGGAGGTGGATATCCTTAAATTCCTTGCAGCAGGAACCCACTTAGGTGGCACCAACCTTGACTTCCAAATGGAACTGTACATCTACAGAATGCGGTGATAACATCTACATCATAAATCTGAAGAGAACCTGAGAGAAGTTTCTGCTGGTGACTTGTGCCATTGAAAACCCAGCTGATGTCAGTGTCACATCCTCCAGGAATACTGGCCACCAAGCTGGACTGAAGTTTGCTGCTGCCATTGGAGCCACTCCTATGGCTGGCTCCTTCACTCCTGGAATCTTTTGTTAATGAAATCCAGGCAGCCTTCCATGAGCCATAACTTCCAGTGGTCACTGATCCCATAGCTGACCACCAGCCTCTCACAGAAGCATCTTATGTTAAGCTGCCCACCATTGCTCTGCGTGACACAGATTCTCCTCTGCTCCAGGTGGACATTGCCACCCCAGGCAACAACAATGGAGCCCACTCCATGGGTCTGATGTGAATACTGTCCTGGGAAGTACAATGCATATATGACACCATCTTCCATGAGCACTCACGGGACGTCATGCCTGATCTCTGTTTCTACAGAGACCCTGTAGAGATCGAAAAGAATAAATAGGTCACTGATGGAAAGGCTGTGACCAAGAAGGAATTTCAGACCGAATGGACTGCTCTAGTTCCTGAGTTTACTGCTACTCAACCTGAGGTCACAGGCTACTCTGAAAGCATGTTGGTGCTCTCTGCACCTATCGAGCAGTTCTCTGCCAAAGATCGGAGCACTCAACCCACCACTGAAGACTGATCCCAATGTTCAGGCCAGTGAATTGGTAAGAACGACCATTGGGTAGTATTAAGCTGTTCTCCACAGGCTCTTGAACAGAAAATGGAAATAAAGCTGTTGAAAAATAAACATCAGTTTCTTAAAACACACATATACAGATACCACTTCACATCCACTATGATAACTGAAATAAAAAGGACAGACAGGGAGTAGTATTGGTTGAGCATGTAAAACGATTGGAACACTTAGTCGTTACTGCTGGAAATGAAAAATGGTGTGGTTGCTTTGGAAAACCATTTGGAAGTTTCTCAAATTATTAAATATAGGATTACCATATGACCCAGGAATCCACTCCCAGGAATATACCCAAGGGAAATGAAAACATGTTTACATGAAAATGTGTACATGAATGATCATAGGAGCATTATTCATAATAGCCCAAAAGTGAAAACAATTAAATGTTCATCTGTTGATGAATGGGTAAACAAAATGTGGTATATCCACATGGAGGAATATTATTCAGCCATAAAAATGATTGGAGTTCCAAAATATATAAACAGCTCATCCAACTCTCTCTCTATATATAAAAAGAACAAAGTGATTTTTAAAATGGGCAGAAGACCTTAATAGACTTTTTCCCAAAGAAGATGTACAGATGGCCAACAGGCCCATGAAAAGATGCTCAACATTACTAATTATCAGAGAAATGCAAATCAAAACCACAGTGAGATATCACCTCACATCTGCCAGAATGTCTATCATCAAAAGACCACAAATAACAAATGTTGATGAGGATGTGAAGAAAAGGGAACCCTAGTACACTGTTGGTAGGAATGTAAATTGGTTCAGCCATTGTGGAAAGCAGTATGGAGTTTCCTCACAAAAATCTAAAAATAGAATTGCCATATGAGCCAGCAATTCTACTCCTAGGTATATATCCAAAAAAAAAAGAAAACATTACTTCAAAAAGATATATGCACGCCAATATTAACAGAGGAATGGATAAAGAAGATGTGGTATATGTACAAGATGGAATACTGTGCATCCATAAAAAGAACGAAATTTTGCCATTTAAAACAATATGGATGGACTTGGAGGGTATTATGCTAAGTGAAATAAGTCAGACAGTGAAAGACAAATACTGTATGATATCATTTATATGTAGAATGTAAAAAATAAAACAAACTAATGAGTATGACCAAACAGAAACAGACTTACAATTATAGAAAACAAATCAGTGGTTACCAGTGGGGAGAGGGAAGGGGAGAGAGACAATAGAAGGGTAGGGGGAACTACTGTCTATAAAATAAGTAAGCCAATAGTTAAAATGGATAACCAACAAGGACCTACTGTATAGCACAGGGAACTCTTCTGAATGTTATGCGGCAGTCTGAAAGGGAGAGGAATTTGGGGGAGAATGGATACACATTCTCCCCCATGGCTGAGTCGCTTTGTCAACCACCGGAAACTATCGTAACATTGTTGATTGGCTATGCTGCTGCTGCTAAGTCACTTCAGTGTGTCCGACTCTGTGTGACCCCATAGACGGCAGCCCACCAGGCTCCCCCGTCCCTGGGATTCTCCAGGCAAGAACACTGGAGTGGGTTGCCATTTCCTTCTCCAATGCATGAAAGTGAAAAGTGAAAGTGAAATCAGTCGTGTCCGACTCAGCGACCTCAAGGACTGCAGCCTACCGGGCTCCTCTGTCCATGGGATTTTCCAGGCAAGAGGACTGGAGTGGGGTGCCATTGCCTTCTCCAGATTGGCTATACTCCCAATACAAAATAAAAAGTTTTTTAAGAATAAATAAGCTATAAGGATATATTGTACGGCACAGGGAATATAGCCAATTTTTACAATAACTATAAATTGAGGATAACCTTTAAACATTGTGAATCACTATATTGTACACCTGAAACTTATGTAATATTGTAAATCAACTGTACTTCAATTTTTAAAGGAGGGATGAAGTACTAATACATGCTAAAACATGGATGAACCTTGAAAACATTATGCTAAATTATGCTAAAAGAGACACAAAAGTCCACATATTGCATGATTCCATTTAGATAAAATTCCAGAACAGGCAAATACATAGAGACAGAGAGTAGAGTAATGGTTGTTAGGGGCGAGGGCATGGGTTGGGGAAAGAGGAGTGACTGCTATGGGGTTTTGGGGAGGGAGAATGAAAATTTTCTAAAATTAGATGGTGGTGATGGTTGCACAACCCTGTTAATTCAAAACCACTGAACTGTACATTTTAAAAGGGAGAATCTTAAAAAAATTTAAATAAAAGGGAGAATCTTATGGTATGTGAACTGTATCTTGATAAAAACTTCTTTTTAAAAACACTTTGTACAGAGTCTAGCACATAACAGCAGCTACAGCTAAAAAACAACAACACATCTATGGTGCTTACCATGTGGCAGGCCCTGTGCTAAGTACTCTACATGCACAAACTCAATCTGCATGACAATCCTGTGAGGTGGATGATGTTATTACCTCCATGTCATGGATGGGGAAAGTGAAACCCAGAGGTTGAATGACTTGCCCAGGGTCACACAGAAGCATAGCCAGGAAGCTCAGATGTTTCTCTTTCACATCTCTGTATCTTTCCTTAATACCTTGTATAAAATAGGTGCTCCATAAGAGTTAAATTAATATAGGTATCAAATACTTCTGTTTCCAGAAAATATTTACAGAGTATTTATTATGTTCCAGGCAAACCTGTGTTCCT